ATTTATTTATTTAACTTATATGCCGCCCACACTACTACACCTTTTCTAAAGGAAACATGTACAGGAACTGTGCCGTACAGTCTCATCCAACGATACCATCCCAAATCAGAACAGAAACTGCTACTGATGAAATCGATTTCCTCTTCCCCTTGAAGCAATGTTAAAATAAATTTAATAAATTAAACTGCAATACATTTCAATAAATTACAGCAAACTGAATTAAACTGGAACATTAGCACAACCAGAGGTGCAGAGCATCATTGAAGTAAATGGCAGCAATAGAAAATACATAGCTAAATGGAAATAACGGAAAGTTAAGTTAAATATGGTGATATGGAATCAGGTTTTACTGATGGATCACAATGCGGGACTTAAAAGGATAAGAGCGCTACTTAGCCATTATCTAATTACCATGGGTACGCTCTAGCTCCATCCCTCTGTTTCTACTTCTGTCACTCGCCAACACATGTAGGATGATGGGTCCAAAGAGGGACAAGCCTCCGCTATCAGTGAGAGAATCTTCACGTGAGTCAGGAGCCTGGAAAATCAGGGTCCTAACTCACATGGAGCGTGCCCATGGATAGCAGAAGCAATTTTTAAATTCCTCGCTCTGCACCTGTAAGAAGGCGAAGAAACTGGAAATAGGGAGGGTTATCTACGTGTGATAAATGGACATAACTGGATAATAACAGGATATTTATTTGTTTATACATTGATTTAATTCAAATTTTACCCCACCCATCCAGTGGCCAGGCCACTACTCTGAGTGGCTTACAACTAGAACATCAACAACATAAACTACAATTCAATCATAAACAACAAATAAACATTAAACAGAACAGTGCCAAAGAACATTGTTCTTAGACTCTTTGGACCCTGGATGAGCATACTTTCATTCCACCTGAAAGGTCATCCAAGGCCCAAAGTGGTCCCCATACTGAAACGGGTTGCAGACCCATGTTATACATTCTTGATTGACAGTAAGGTCCCTTGAATCCAGTGAAACCTACTTTTGAGAATATGTAAGATAAAATTGTTAACCTATTCTGACAACAGAACACCAAAGTGAGAGCTCCTTCAAAACTCCTATCTATAGAAAGCCAACATGAAAAGCTTCTTTCGGAACAGAGTAGTCAATAGAAAAGGCATGGCACCTAACAATTCCATGTTTCTCATATTGTGGAACTATTTTGTTAGTGATGTATAAACAGCGTTGTTTTACTGGAGTTCTGTCGCCTCACAATGGAAAGACATGCTCATACTGAGAATGCCTATTAGTATGACAGCATGTTTCCTCAAATACAGACCTGACTGAAATATGACGTGCAATCCTGCTCTCAATGATGAGTATGCAGTTCCCAACAAAATCAACACGACAGGTTCATACATATTTGAGTGTAACAGTACAGACCTAAATTAGAACTATTTTAGCAAAAGTGAGGTCACCCTACTTGTCTTATGTTACGGATCTCCTTAAAAACCATAATATGAGCAAGACTATGATGACTTCATTCACCAGTGTGCTGAATTTTTAAGTTTAAATTTTAAGTAAGTTTGCACCGTGCAAAATTAAATTTTATTCCATTAAAAGTCTTCTGCTAGGAATACACAAAACATTCTGCTATTTGTTAATAATGGAGCTTGCAGTACTAAATGGTTGCACACAAGTGAAAAACTATAAGGAAAAGGAAACCTGGTGCTTAATTACCCATTAAAATTATAATTCTGAAAAAAAATTCTGAAAGGAAAAAAGAAGTAAATGCATTCTTACCTCTTTCTCTATTTTAAGTAGCTTCTTCACAGCCACCTCCTTGTCCTGAGATACCCATCGGGCTCGGTATACACTTCCAAAACTCCCTCCACCACAGTTTTCAAAAAACTGCAAGTCATCAAATTTAATTTGCACAAATGAAGCTCCGAGAGACAACATCTCATAATGACAAAAAATACAGCAAAAATAAAAGAAAAAAAACCTGTAAGGGAAAAAGAAGAAACAAATCTGATTACATTTCTACTGCCGTGGTTCACTGTGGTCTTAACTTTTTCCCCATGCAATAATGAGAACATGATCCTATTGATATCAAAAGCCATGACACTCACAACACGTATATATTCTTGCAGCTCCTGAGGTTACTATTTGTAAGGAAACAGCCACAACATTCACCACATTCTCTCCTGTTTTGAGATGCTGGAAACCCCTCTGGAAAAGACTTCTGTCTCGGTGTGTGCACACACGCAATGAGAGAAACAGTCGGAGAGACTAGTTCCCTTGCAGTGACACACACTGTCCAAAGGAAAGCATGCTTGCAACTGGGAGCTTGCCTAGGAGTTCTGGAATCTAGAGTATGCCATGTATCCACGTTGTGATCACTCTGAGAAACATACATAACGTAAGCCCCTGAACATTCTAGCACAATGACCACTTCAGACCTCTCCTGAACCATGCAGACTGTCTACAAACGATGAAAAGTGTGTCCCTATTTTGATATACAGTTGAGAGACCCCTTGGCCGAAAGACAAGTCTGTTCCAAAAGGAGCTTAGTTCTGCTTTCACCGGCAAATCCAAAATAATTTATCTCATCTCTATATGTGCCAAGGCATACTTTTTTTTTTTACAGTTATAAGAAGACATCTCATATTTCCTACCCATGGAACAAAACATTCTTCCCTTAAAGTTATAAATCTTAAGCTTCTCACAAATTGCCGCACAAGGTGTGGCTGAAACATCTGAAAAGCCCGACTCCTGATCTAAATATGATCAACATGAAAGTTCATCCATCATAATCAGACTGAAGAGCTGAAGGGCAAAGGCAAGTTTTCAGAAACATGTCGGTGTAACTGCAAAGCCTGACAGAAACTACAGATCCAATGTATAGGGTTTTTTTTTTTAAGTTGGCAAAGTAGCCCAGCCACACAGCACTGAACACAGGTTCCTGCAAGAATCTATATACAACTGTGCACAAAACAGAATGTTCTCATCTGACAGAAAGCACCAAACTGATCCTCCAGTATTAACATGGAGAGCCCGAATTCTTGATAACTAATTGGGACAACACAAGCAATGATTTTCTGGAAACCAGGAAATTGTTTATCCATTTATCATGAACAAGTGGAAAGCTATTAAAAGTAATGTGGTCAGTTCATTATTACATTTATACTCTTTCTTTCTTTGCAAACAAAAGGCAGTCAAAGCAGCTAACAGTAATAAAATTCAAGTAAAGCGAACAGAATTAAACCATGAAAACAGATTTAAAACACATCAATAAAAAACAAAAGTGAAAAGTGACTACATATAGTTCTGCCACAGCCTGTTTCTTGACAAAGAAACCAAATGTTATTATAGTATTTATTTATTTATTTATTTATTTGTTTATTTGTTTATTTATTTAATACCCCATCCATTTAGACAATGTCTATTCTGGGCGGCTTGCAATAAAATAGCATAAAAACAATTGATAGAAGAATTTAAACAACAATAATAATATCATTCAAGATGGGAAGATAAAACTCAAATGAAAAATTAAAGACAGGAAAATAAAAATATAAAAGTAAAGATGAAGTAGTGACAGGAGGGAAGGCCTGCCTAAAGAGCCAGGTCTTAAGTTGGCTCTTAAAAATACCCAGCGAGGAAGCCAGGCAAATCTCTGACTGGAGATTATTCCAGAGTCGAGGGGCCACTGCCGAGAAGGCCCGGTTTCTTGTTCTTTCTTTCTGGGCCTCCCTCTGTATTAGGCCCCTCAACCGTCTTTCCTGGCTAGAACGAGCGATTTGGGTAGATCTAGGTGGGAGAAGGCGTTCCGCTAGGTATTGAGGTCCTAAACCGTTCAGGGCTTTGTATGTCATCATTAACGCTTTGAAATCAATGCGGAAATGAACGGGCAGCCAATGCAAGGCAGCCACAAAGCTATTCAGGAAGATATTATTTACATACATACATACATACATACATACATACATACATACATACATACATACATACATACATACATACACACACACACACACACACACACACACACACACACACACACACATACACACAAATACATACATACATATGCATATGTTTATATCATATGTAAGAATCTATGATAAATTCTGGCAGTTATTTACACACACATATCCAAACTCCGCTAAGATAAACTGCCAAAGTTCAACCTCACTTGACTCATCTGCATTTCATTCCAAGCACTACAATAAGCACACAGACCATGGGCCAGATGAAAAGAAATAGATCAAGTTACATCATTTGCCCAGTAATGCTAAAGAAACTCCATAGTGATGCAAGACTTAAAGGCTTCCTGTAGATATCGGAAAGCATAAGGATGAGACCTGGACTTCTGTGGGGACTAGTAATAACTAGCCTTTGGTGAAAAAGAATCCCACAAATAGATTTATCACTTGCAACATCACCATCTCATTATATACAGCATGAAATGCTACCAAAAAAGGTATGGCAATAGAACAACCCATCTACCACAAGGAAGAAACAAGGACGGTGTCCGTTTCTGCCAAAGGATCAAGTTACTTTTTGGGACTAAACCTCCCCCCCCCAAAAAAAAACTAAGACAGCTTAACTACTGGCCAGCCATGCTAACTGGGGAAGTTTGGAGGCTGCAGTCCCAAAAATTTACTTTTCCAAGTTTTGCCGATATATCTTTTAAACCTACTCCAAGGCATAGTGCTTTCAACCATATATTCACAGTGTAGGAAGGAATTCCTCGGTTATCCGCTCGTATGGGATACAAAGAATGGCAAAGCGTGTCCAAGGACAATATGCACAAAGCACTTGGAACATACCTGTATATAAAAACATAATATAAATATTTCTCTCTTTTTTTGCTAATAATATTTATGCGTTTGTATTTTTAATATTCACGAAGAGTCAGACAAGACGCAACGACTAAACAACAATTGTTAACAGATTGCAACAGCCAGCTCCCTGTTTCTGCCTGTTCTACCTAGCCTCTGTCCAAAACCTCTCTCGCTCAAATGCTAGACTCAAAAGCCATTTTATTTGCAAGAACAGCATATAAAGCCTGCACACTATTGCAATTTTCTAGCACTCCATCTCAACGACAGTGAATAAAAACAGCAGTTCAAATGGCCCTGAGTAAGTTCTGGCTTTGAGTGCAATTGGACTAGCTGGACTTTTCATTCCCACCTTCTCCACATTTCACCAAGAATGTCCAATAACTAGTTGGTAGGTTTACATTTTTTTCCCCCTGCACACTGCAATCCAATTTTCTGTTTTGCCGGCTGCTGGTTCTGTGATAAAATAAGATTCTCATGGAGACTACATGTTTAGCCCCTCACTTGTGCTGGATTAGCTCCCAGTAAGGCAAGCCTTATAAGCAGGGGCACAAATGCTTCAAGACAACCGTTACCTTTTACTACGGGTAACAGCCTGCAAGAAAAGTAAAATCTTTGACTTGCAGCTGAACTTAACACTGTGATATTCCATCTACCTTTCCCCCATCTGTTCGATCACATCTGAATCAAACCATACCGTGATGTGACACGGCAGAATCAGCTGCTGTGGGCAGGTGCCATGACACAACAGGGATATGCTACTTCTGTTCTGGCACAGACTCGGGGGGGGGCAGCGCTAAATCTCTTGTGAAGCCTACTTTGGCCTTTGATGAAAAAAAAGGTAAAGGAGGGGAAGGTGATGCTGGTGGAGAAGACGGAGAAAGACTCAGGTAGGAAAAGGAAACAAATGTTGCAACACCTGTACCAAGAGCTAGGTTGATTTCCATATACTGTAAGAGAAATGGGGTGGGGGGATTGGTTGGTGGGTTAGGATTGAATGAATGTAGAATCAGCATCAAGCCTGCTCTAACTAAACCCCCTGATCCTAAGCACATTGGGAATCATGCTTTGCTGAAATCACATGTGTTTAAGACCACAGACGAGTGTTCTTCCTCTTCCGACATTCCATATTCCAAAGCACATGTTCCATTCATTCATTTTTCTGAACTTAGATACTTGGATCATAAAGTACCGCTAGACATATGCTCCATTGCATACAGTTATATATATTACAATTGAGAGCTCCTAGCTGTTATTGTACGAGAGCCATGGGGAAGGTTATGGCTATTGGCTTTGTTGTCTGGAAGGAGATTAGTAACACATGATGTATTTTTGAAGGAACAATTCTGTTATTATCTATCACATAGAGGCATTTTTAACGTAACCATCACTTTATGAAAAGAAAGTGCTTTGTTTTGTCAAGGTGACAGCTACTTTCGAAATTTCTCTATAGGGGTGGATTGAACTTCAATTTTGATCTAAATAAGTTAACGTGGCCTGAAAGTGAAAAAGCAAAGCAAAACAAAAGAATCAAGAAGTGAACTTATATTCTGAGGATTTCCTGAGGGTAGAAGGGGAATTGTTCACTTCCTGGCAATTATTTTTATAGCTTAGAAAGTGTTGTCTTTCACACCAAAAAGAAAAGGCTCTAAGAGAGCTTTTGTGGCATTTTGTATTTCAATTTTAATGCCCAGCGGTCTATTGTGGTATGTGCTTTGTATATCCAGCTCTTTAACAACAGCACTCAGTTCAATATAGTTAAATAGATGCTCACTGGGATTCTCCTATCTGACAGCTTGTCTTTATGCCCACCTGTAACTGTAAGCCTTATCTGCTCCAAAGTGAGAATAAGCCAGCACAGGAAAGAGGAAATGTGTAGCCTTGTGCACACTGCGGTAAGGTATGCTAAAAACCCTAAAGCGCTTTTTCTTCCTTCCATTCATCTCTGCCTATGGAAAAGCTGGATTCTGGGTGCTAGTTTCTTTAGAAGCTGGGAACTCCAAACTTAAAATAGTATTGTTTAAACGTTTTTTTCATATGGTATTTGATCCTTTTGTATTTGTAAACTCAGCATTATTAGCATTAAATATTGTATTTTAATAATACAAGCTGCCTTGGGTCCTTTCTAAGGAGAAAGGTGGAGTAAAAATATATTAAATAA